CGAAGAAAAAAATTGAAATTAATTTTTATTTCGAAAACGGTAACAGATAGGTATAGGGAAATATCAAGAAAAGTTGTCGGGCAATTGTTGGAGATTCCAAAAATAATATTATATACAGAGTGTTCCATTTGAAAAATCAAAGTTGCTACTGCTTTCTAATAGAAGCGGCAACACCGCATTGTCGAAAATATTTTAGTTGGCTAGAGAATGTCCGAATATGCCCTCCATTAAATTTTCAAAGTAATCCGTTGTCTGGTTCACCAGAAACGTCTAATTTGCCATCCACCGTGAATCAGCCTGTATTGTGTAAAACATGTGTGGAGTCTTTACGATAATGGAAAAATAACAAGTGGGCTCCCTTGAACCTCATTAGTCCTGTGATTTGGCGTGAACCGTCGAACCACCACGACGACTGTTATTTCTGCGTCGTAAACGTAACCGGAATTAACCGCCAAAATCATTCCAAATAGGTTTATTTCACTGTGCCGTCAGTTAGTAGACCTGACCTGCGTTCAACTGATACATTAGAGCCCCAACCAAGTACTTTTCAGGTACGTCTGCACGAAATTGTTCGACTAATGGAGGAAAGTGACACAAGCTGCGAAGATAGTGATAGCGAATTGGAAGACGCTGAAAGAGCAAGACCATTCAACCAAGAGGATATAAATGATTTAATGAAATATCTCGGATTGTCTAAAGCTTCATCAGAACTTCTAGCTTGCCGTAACAGGGAAAAGACTCGCGTCTTAAATGTGTACTTTTACAAAATGGCTCTTTGCCTATTGCTCATTCAACCAAAGCTAAAAAAGAATATATTCCACAATATCTCTGGTTTAAAATGAAATTCCATACACAGAACACAACTGACTCATATGCGTGAACGTAATATAGTGAATATGGAAAACAAAGCGACTATACGAAATATCCGTGTTCAATTTGCTTGTGGGAGGGCAGAGCTGAAACTGAACATTGGACCTGAAAAGATTGGCCGCGTAGACACGAAATTAATACAAGGCAAGTTCAACGTAATAAACCCCCATCTAATGCCTCGGGGACGTATGATATTACCTCCTTCACCCATCAAACTAGGATTGTGAAAACTACGTAGAGGTTCTAAACTAAACAAAGACGAGGAATGTTTTCAGTATATATCCAGATCGTTTCCAAAATTAAGTGCTGAGAAGTTAAAAGCTGGAATTTTCGATTGATCACAAATTAGAAAATCAATAAACGATATAAATTTTACTGAAAGTATGACAACCGCTGAAAAAAATGCCTGGAATGAGTTTGTTTGGCTCGTAAAAAACTTTTTAAGAAATAAGAGGAACTTCAAGTTTCCTGACCACGTCAAGCAGTTATTATTATACTTTCAGCAACTGGTATGCAACATGAGCATTAATATGCATTTCCTTCATAGCCACCTTAATCGATTTCCTGAAAATCTTGGAGATTCAAACGAGGAACGAGAAGAACGATTTCATCAGGATATTCGCAACAAGAAGGAGCTCTACCAGGGCTATTGGAGTGAAAATATATATGATGGCTGACTACTGTTGTATCATCGTGAATATTAGTAACACTACAACTAATTCAAGAAAGTCACACAAAAAAAAGTTTTGTTCTGATAAGATAGTTCTGGTATCTGTAGACTAGAGAAGGTGAGTGTGGACTCATATCAATTAGGCCACATGTGACACATTGTATGTACATCCTCCCGAGGAGTTGTCCTTGTTCTTCTTTATATTGACAGGTATAGGCCAAGACTCTCCGAGTACACACTCTCTTTGGCAACCTTGAGGTGTCTCACGGTGGCCTCCGCGAAGGTTTTGGAAAGTGCAGCGATATTACTGTCGTTGCGCAGCTTCTTCAATTTTCACAAATGGGGTAGCTTTCCTGCAGGGGCAGCCGGTTCCTTGCCTTTATTCAAGGCGGAGCTCTTGGCGCTCACCACAGGAAATGCCTTTGCTGTTGGAGGTGATTTGCTATGTTCAGCCTAATTCCAAGCGGTAAATTAGGATGGACATTTCTGTTCATTCCCAACCACCACCTTAGATTGAGGTGAGTACTTCTGTCCAGCCTCGGGATTGGTTTTTGTTTTTGTGTTTGTTTATTTCATGTGTGTTCACACACGAGTGGCCTCCGCAAAAATTGGGGTTTTCTTCGTGGAAGTGCACAAGTGAGGGAGTTTTCCTGCAGGGAAACCGTTCCTTGCCTTCCTTCAAGACGGAGCTCTTGGCGCTCGCCACCAGAAGTGCCCTTGCTGTTGGGGGTGGAGTGGGGGAGGAGAAGGGTGCACTTATAGTTGCTGCCACTCCTGCTTCCTTCGCTCTCCTTCTCCTTTTGGCCTGGCACCGCAAATGCGCTTACGACTTGGCTTTTGTATTACATCACGAGGTGATCTGCTATGTCCAGCCTCATTCCAAGCGGTAGATTGGGGTGGACATTTCTGTTCATCCCCAGTCACCGCCTTAGATTGAGGTGAGCACTTTTGTCCAGCCTCGGGATTGGTTTTTGTTTTTGTGTTTGTTTATTTCATGTTTGTTTCCATGAGTAGCAAGGGAAGAGTTGGTCACCTCTGGCAGATCCCCGCATTACCAGAGGAAGGCTGATTGCAATGAGGTTTCGCCCGGTTCCCCAAGGGGATCGTTCGTGACCGTATGTCACCCTGCGGCCATTCAGCTGTCGGCACGATTGCTTACACCTTAGCTTGGGTAGGCTGGTCCATGGTGGCTTTTGGGGAGTTTTAGTTCCCCTCACCCTACTTATTTCTGCCACTGACCAGGAGTCTGGCGATCCCGTCCGTAAGGCCACATTGGCTTCCCGGACAGGGCCTCCAGTCCTCTGGCCGTTCCCCTATCCGCCACCTGGGAACGCGCTCGATAGGTAGCCCAATCTAGGGGTAATAAGATAGTTGAATAAATTGTTATATATGACGAAAAACCTTCATATCTCAAGAAGTAAGCTGCTAGCAAAAATCTGAGTACAGATTTGGAATCAGGGTAGAAATGGCAGCTAGATCCATTGAAAATATTACATGAAACAAAAAATGCTGTCGTACAGTGTTATAGGACTTCTCACTGGACACTGTCCATTGAGAAGACTTCTGAACAAAATAGTGTACGTGATTCTCGGGCCCAGTAATCACCTACCAACAACCATCGTCAGTTCAATCAGGTTAGAGCCTAGTTCCCTTACCCTTCTGGCTGATTTTTGTCAGAAAGACAAATGGGTTCATCACTAAGAGGTGGTGGCAGTATGAAAGTCCTCAGACATTAGTACCGCCCTTCACGATGTACTAGCTTCCCTAACTAACGGGTTTTGGTGAGTTTCGGCACAATCAAAAACTCGGCGATTCCTCGACTGAATGGACTGCTTGATGCAGGCAGCTGCAAATCTCTGCGGATGGTTTCATTTCGTACGAACCACGGAGCATTCACAATCATCCGTATCAGCTTATTTTGTTTTCTCTCCAGAATGGAGATGTTAGACGGAGCCGTTTGTCCCCAGACGCCTGAAGCATACATGATTTTATACATACATCATTTTATAGATCGTAATTTTGTGTTTCAGGCTTAGTTTGGATCGTCTATTGATCAGAGGGTACAGACTTTTGATCCGACCCTCGATCTTTGCCTTCACGTTTGTGATGTGCGGGTTCCAGATGACACTACGGTCTATTAGAAGACTGAGGTACTTTACCCGCGCTTGCCAGTCGATCTCTCTTCCAGAAATCCTCACTTTTCTGGCCGGAGAAGATGAAATTCTTTCCATGGTTATCGCCTGAGTCTTTTCCGGGTTCACTCGAATCTTCCATTCGAGGTACCAGCGCTCGAGGTCGTCCAATGCACGTTGCATGTAGACGATCACGAGTCCCCGACCCATGGATCGGCGTAGAGGGATATCTTCGTACACTCGGACCTTGGGAGGTCACTGGTGTAAAGTGAGTACAGCGTCGGAGAGAGCACAGCCCCCTGTGAATGTTCTGTCTTTCAGGAAAGACCCAATCCACTGGATCAGACCTCGAGACAGGTCGAACGCAACTAGCGTATGCGGAAGACCTTTGTGCCATACACGGTAAAAGGCCTTCGAGATGTCTGAAAGGACAAAATGAACTTTTTGATTGTGATTTAGCTCTGCGATGGTGTTTTCGACCAGTCTGATTGTCTGTAGTTCAGTGGAGTGTTCTCTCCTGAAGCCGAACTGTTCGTCAGGCAGAACATTTCGGTCCTCAACTTCTTCGTTGGGTCTTTGCAGAACGATTCTTTCAGCCAGCTTAGCCGTCGACTGTTCTGGGTGATAGTTCTGTGGGAACAGCAGGTTCTGACCCTGTTTTGGGATCATGACAACGATCGCATGCTTCCACCTTCTGAGGAAGTATCTGAGGGCCAACGTACTGTTCCTTGGCCCTCAGATCATGTTTATGATCTGAAGTAAACTTTCGACGCAGTTGTCCGGGACTCTCTTCAATAAGTCATTGGTTATTGAGTCGCCCGCCGGAGCTTTTCTGGACTTTGCGGCCCTGATATAACCCTTCAGCTCCTCCACAGAAGCTGGGTGGATGTTATCGTCGTCATCCAATAATCACTTATTTCATGATGTGGGAAGTGCTCATTGCTTGTTGATGCTGACGCGCTTTTCTGAATAAATTGGGGCTTTGGGGACAAGGCCCGACCAGTTCAACTTTCGGTAAAAAAAAATAATAATGACACTAAGGCAAAAATATTGACCAGGACACGGTCATTCTTCTCTTATTGCGTTAGCTCAGGGCACAACATGGATCAACCGGCACAACTTCTGTGGGAAAATTATAGGTCTCTATTTTTAAATGAATACAGCAACATGTTTTTAACCACAAATTTTGTATCGAAATGATTCTTGAAATACTTCGTTCCAAAAATGAAATTGTTTGTATATATGAAGTTATATTTCTGTAATCGATATAAATACTTCACCTCTGTAAAGGAGATTATGAGCCCTAAAACAGTACATTGTGGAGCACCAAAACTCCTTTGTGCTTTTAACATACTCCTTTTGATCGAGATACTTTTCCCACACAAATTCAAAATACTTTTTCCTCACAAATAACAGGGATTTCTGTCACCAATAAAATTACTGTTTGTTTTCAGAAAGGTCCTGAGAGCTTACCAAGACAGCTGGCAGAACAGATGTCGCTTCTTGTTCTGTTGTTCTTCGGCCAATGACAGAAGTAAGAATTCTTTTACGGACATAGCTAGGTTGTTATCGGATTTTTTTCGGGATTTGGACGTTGTGCCATCTGATGTAATCGTTGGGCTAGTGTTACTTCGAAAGTTTCAGAAAATCGAACAGAAAGCAATTGTAGATCAGGTAAGTTATATATGTTGTTCGAAATATGTAGTGCGCAGTGGCGGTTGGAACAAATACCTTTTTTGCCAAAGTCATTATAATCATGAAAAATCTTGGGATACTTTCATTGTGTATTATGGCTCACCCCGTATATTATCAGGTTTTTCGAGTCTTTCGAATGAATATCAAATTCATATAAGGGGGTAGAAATTTCCAAAACTGAATTTGCATTTATTGCTAGTATATCGCTGAATATACAGTTGAAATTATGACATATTTCGACTCTCATTTCTTCAATTTTGGTCGGTCTGTGAAGTAAGGTCTGAAGCTCTTGTTGGCCATTTTATTGTTCTGCGTCTACCAATCCACCAGAATAGAAATGTTCCTTCAAAACAGTAGTTGATCACAGGTCTGAAATAATGCAGTGGCCGACCATTCAGTTGAAACAACACAGAGCTATCTATTGAATCATGGTTATTGACATTTGACTACAATACTGTAACGAATATGAAGCTGCTCCTGACCGATATCTCAGCCAGCGAATAAACACATGACGTCACCGCAGTCGACAAACCGCCGGTTAAATTCTAGTCGAGTACCAAAACCACTAGAGAAATCTAGAACAACCGTTACCGATATATAAGGCCCGCTTTTCCTCTAGAGATGGCAGTCTGAATTCAGAAAGCGAATCGAGCGGTTAAACAAGGAATTCAAATAGTGAAGATGAATTAAGCTTTAGTTTGCTAAATGTTGAATATAAATTAGTTTGTGATAGTAAAATATTGTTAGAAATTAAGTCTCAACTTCAACCAACGTGTTAACTTTTTGTTAAGCTTCCATTTTTCGCTGTGGATTCCCAGTAGCCCAATATTGGCAATTTTGCCTATCCACAGTAGTATCGAAACATAAGGGGTCTTCACCAGAGACAAGTACTTGGTTGACAGAATTATAATTTGCGGTCGTAATAATTTTTATAGAGCTGGTGAACTAAAAGCACTTTGTGTGAGTATCACTTATTGCTTTTCAAATATTTCGATTTTCAAATATGACTAGATGTTGTCTCATGAAGTTATTTGTCTTTTGAACGACTCTTTGTAAAATTATACCGCTCTTGACCAAATTTTGGATCTTTTTTCCATTTACCTCACAGTTGATAGTGTCACACGACAATCAGGGAACTACTCATTGAAAAACTTGATCTTGTATAGTTCAAATGATATTCTGCAACCTACCTTCCAACTGTTCCACTTTAATAATATAGTTAGTGAAGTAACTAACTTCGTTATTTAATAATCCTTTCTGATGACATAAGAATGACAATAACTATATATATATGTCATGAGACAACATATATATATATAT